GACATCTTTCCAAGCCGCTCTGCTTCGGGACTCTTCTGAGCCACAGTTTGCCTTATAACTTTACGAGAGGGTGAGTCCATCGAGTGGGGTGTCTTCTAGGCCTTGCTTTCCCCCTTGGGTACCAGTTAATCACTCTCTTGGTCCAGCGACCATCGACGAATCTAATGGTATACTGTTTCAGATCAAATTCGTAAAAGAGATGCCGGTTCCTGAACGTTGCCTTGAAACCAAATATCAAGCCTCGTGGGACGAATCCGACACCATCTACAGGTACGACCTGGTGCAGCCAATATGGTGGAACTGCCAATGGGAAAGAATCAATTTCTGGGTAGCCGGTCAGTTTCCTAGCAGCCTTTATGCATCATTCAGCCCATTACATGGTTCAATCCCGAGATATTTTCAGCTTGTGTACTCAAATTGGTGCCGTGTGTCCTACTGACGGTCTTCATGACACTTTTAGTACGAATGCTCATCGAAGCACGTGAAAGACGATTACGGCTTTGTGGAGGTGTCCCTACTGGGAATTCTCAAGTATGTGTTGATTTTCACTAAGTTACCCTTAAAAGAAGGGCAAGCTGATCTAATCCAATACAAACGAACTTCAGGCTGAACGTACAACCGCAATGCTCACAGGAATTGTGGCCGTGTTTTTGATTACAGAACTGCCTCAAGGAATTCTTGGCCTTGCTGTTGGTGAGTTTTACCGAAAAGATAGCAGGCTAAGTAAAAAATCATGAGGCCTCACTCGTATTTTCGTGATATCGGACAGCTTGTTGGATCAGTGCAGTGTTATGCCTCATATAGGTCACCATCACCCCAGTGTTAGATTTTTGATGAATATTTTGTGTATCTTTTTCACCTCCTTACCTCTTTTTATCTCACACCGCTGCTTCGGGGGTCTCTCACATTTCGCCAGTTTCTCTGCAAGTTCTGCTAGCTGTTTAGTCACTATTTTGCAATCTACAGACTACTATTTTTTCCATGCACTGTCCAGTCCATTGACGTGGCTGCCCAAGCCTGTCGTGGCATATCTACATAGTTTGTGTCCAAAGC